TTGAGGAGATCCTCAAAGTATTCCTTCCATCGCCCGACAATATCCTCCTTCAAGGTCAGCAGCTCCCCACTCCCACTGAAAACAGTGTTAGCGAAGCACTGCTTTCCCCTCCGGAGGCGCCGGACGGTTTGCCAGAATTGCTTTGAGGCCAACCGATAGTCTTTTTCCATTGCCTCTCCGAACTCCTCCCAGGCCCGAGATTTTGCCTCTGCAACCGCCCGGGCCGCGACACGCTTGGCCTCACGGTACCTGCTTGCTGCTTCAGGAGTCCCACAAGCCAGCCAAGCTCGATAAGACTCCTTCTTCAGCTTGACAGCATCCCTTACTATCGGTGTCCACCACCGGGTTCGGGGATTGCCACCACGACAGGCACCGCAAACCTTACGGCCACAGCTACGGGCAGCCGCATCGACAATAGAGGCAGAGAACACAGCCCATTCGGACTCCATGTCTCCAACCTCCCTCGGAACCTGAGAGAAGCTCTCCCGGAGGTGGGAGTTGAACACGTCCCTGACCGAGGGTTCCACCAGACGTTCCCAGCAGACCCTCACTACACGTTTGGGCCTGCCGAGTCTTTCAGGCTTCCTCCTCTTCCAGGGTATCCAGCTCACCACCAGGTGGTGGTCGGTGGACAGCTCCGACCCTCTCTTCACCCGAGTGTCCAAGACATGCGGCCGAAGATCAGAAGATACGACTACAAAGTCGATCATCGACCTTCGGCCTAGGGTGTCCTGGTGCCAGGTGCAAGGATGGACATCCTTATGCTTGAACATGGTGTTCATTATGGACAATCCATGACTTGCACAGATGTCCAATAATGAGACACCACTCAGGTTCAGAGCTGGGGGCCCGTTCCTCCCGACCACGCCCCTCCAGGTGTCACTGTCGTTTCCCACGTGGGCGTTGAAGTCTGGAACAGACTGATGGAATCCCCGGGAGGGGCGCTTTCTAACACCCTCCCCAAGGATGCTAAGAAGGCCTGGTACTCTGTACTGCCGTTCGGCCCATAGGCCGAAACAACTGTCAGAGTCCTCCCTTCGACCCGAAGGCGAAGGGATGCGACCCTCTCATCTACCGGGGTGAACTCCAACACGAGACGGCTGAGCTGAGGGGAGACAAGCAGCCCCACCCCCGCCCTCCGTCTCTCCCCGCGGGTCACTCCAGAGTAGAAGAGAGTCCAGCCTCTCTCAAGGAGCTGGGTTCCAGAGCCCTGACTGTGCGTAGAGGTGAGCCCAACTATTTCTAGCCGGTATCGCTCCACCTCCCGCACAAGCTCGGGCTCCTTCCCCGCCAGTGAGGTGACGTTCCACGTCCCCAGAGCCAGTTCAAGCGCCCGCGGATCAGGTCGCCGAGGTCTCCGCCTCTGACTGCCGCCCAATCCTCTATGCACCGGTCCCTCATGGTTCCCCCTGCAGGTGGTGGGCCCACTGGGGGATGGCCTCGCGTCGCTCCTTCGGGCTGGGCCCGGCCGGGTCCCGCGAGGAAGAGCCCGACCACCAGGCGCTCGCCGACGAACCCCAACCCCAGGCCTGGCTCCAGGGTGGGGTCCCGGCTCCGCCGTACCGGGCGACGTCACGTGCCTCGCTGTAGTCCTCATCATAAGGGTTTTTGAACCGCTCTTCGTCTGACCTGTCACCCAGAGCCTGTTTGCCTTGGGAGACCCTACCAGGGGCATTTAGCCCCCGACAACATAGCCTCTGGGATCACTCAGGCGCTGAAACCCCTCCACCACGTTAAGGTGGCGGTTCAAGGAGGGGTATATATATATATATATATATATATATATATATATATATATATATATATATATATATATATATATATATATATATATATATATATATATATATATATATATATATATATATATATATATATATATATATATATATATATATATATATATATATATATATATATATATATATATATATATATATATATATATATATATATATATATATATATATATATATATATATATATATATATATATATATATATATATATATATATATATATATATATATATATATATATATATATATATATATATATATATATATATATATATATATATATATATATATATATATATATATATATATATATATATATATATATATATATATATATATATATATATATATATATATATATATATATATATATATATATATATATATATATATATATATATATATATTTTTTTTTTTTTTTTTTTTTTTTTTTTGCATTTTTAAAAAATGTTAAAAGGGAGATACTTTGGGGAGATACTGATGACAATTTTTCTCTTTTGTAGTTTTGAAATAGGAAAGTTAAGTTTCCTTTAGGATATAATTATTTTTGTAAGAATTTGGTTAACAGTTCTTAAACCTACCTGTTTCATTTCAAGCAGCCTATTTGTATATTAAATATTTATTAGTATTTATTTTCTTTCTAGAATTTGAAATAATTTAAAAATCTGAATTATCTTAGGATATATTTCCTATTTATATAGGACTTTAGTTTGAAGTATAATGATCTTACTTAAACTTTACCTGCAGAAACCTTCATTAACCTGCATTATATATTGTTGGTTACATTAATATTTTGGAATTTTTAGAGGCTTAAATGTCCTAAAGGTTGAAGTTATGGCAGGCTTCTATATTGTAAAAAATGATGAATTTATTTTAGGTGTTCTTACTGTCTACCAATGCTGCCAATAAAAATTGAGGGCTCTGAGCTGTATGTAATATGTTCCCCTCTCAATTCTGAGATCTGATTTTCATGTCCTATTTGGACTTGAAAATATCTTCAAAAATTACTTGAATTTGGAATAGAAAATGTTCCGGCTGCTATGTCAGTTTTCTGTGGCCTGATGTAATGTACCACAAAACTAAATACGCTCTATTAATATTTTTTTGGTTTTTATATATATATTTTTTGGTTATTATTATTCACAGTTGGAAAATTTGACTGTAAAACAATTTAAGATACCTAAATTTCATAGCTTAAAATATATCAGTGAAAATGATAATTGGAGCTCCAGATGACAACGCTTGGCCTTTTTTATTTGTGACTCCTCAGTATTTTCATGTCCTGGTGATCTCTGTGAGATCTTTGACTTAAACATTTTCACATTGAAAAGTGAACAGTTGATATGCGGAAGATGTGCATGTATTATTGTTTGGTGGATTTGTGTTTTCTAAATGAGGGACTTAATAAAAACAGTTCACTGAGAATCTTCTTGTGAATTTTTCTGCTTTTCTATGGTTATTCTATTTTCAGTATCAGCAGATTTACTGTTTTTTACTGCATGAGGAATTCAAGGAGAGCCCTTGGGTGCCATGGTACCTATAAAACATATTATATAAAGAAAAAGCTTATAAAATGGGGGAAAATGGCTGCAGTCCTCTTAAGAGGATTTGATGTGATATTTGTATTGTTACGCATCACTATGAGAACCATTATTAAAACACATTTAATGAGTGTAATTATACATCTAATATATCCAAGATCATCTTATAGAGCTGAGTCAAGCTGTTGGCCTTACACAGCTCTCTCTTTCAACAGATCTGGGTTTGTTAGGGCTTTCGGGAAGTTCAGAGACTTTCCACTGAAACAACAGAATGACATAGAAAGCTGCTGTGAAATATTGATCTAACTAGTGTTGCAGAGATGCTTTTAAGATAATAAGAAGGAGAGGACCTTGTGAACAGATCGATTCAAATGGGAAGTGAAGAAAAGAGAGGTTTCTCCCCACACACCACAGATCATTTATAATGAGGTGGTGTGTCAATACTTGAGCTCTTCACATGCTATCGACCACTGGACCAGGACAATGGGTTGTGCGGTTAATGTTAACACAAGGAGAAATGAAAGATTTTCAGTGGTTATTTCTAAATCATAGTGTAACACTGAAAGATGGATATATTTTGCAGAGATGCTGGTGATTACATGATTGGTGCATATTGCTTCTCCCAGTGCAGCAGCTGTTCCATAGTTACCACAGTGTTATAATGTCCACACTGCCCCCTCATGGTCGTAGTATCCCGATGCACCTTTCCCAGCCAAGATCAGGCAACACAAAGAAGATGTTGCTGTGTCTGCAGTATCACTGCATTGGATGGATGCACTGTTGACCAGCGCCTGCTCCTGCAGGATTTGTGGCAAAAAGCAGTTGGATTTCTGAGCAAAACTTAGCATTTGAAAAGGCATCAGCGTATACTGATGTGAGTCAAAAAAAACATGGAAGCACTATGCAGACCCAAAATTAACTTTGGGTCAAACTATTTGAAGCCCAAAAAGCAATGTGATAGCGGCTACCTGTAAAAAATCAAAGTTTTTTGTTTCCTTCCTGTTCACTTTTTATTGGGTTCTTTTTTAATTCTGTTTCACTGCCAGGGCAAACTTTAATTGTGTGTTGACTTGTATCCGTGAAATAATGTTACTCCCTAATTTTACAGTATTCATCAATAAACTGTGAATTTTATTTTTTAATTGAATTAGCTGTACATTCCGGCCCCGTTAACTTACCTCTGTGAAGGTTTTACTAAGCATGTGTACCAAGTATGTGTGCAATTGTGCAGCACACTGCAAGTTATTTTAACCTATCATCAGTACACCGGGCACATACTGTTTTTTATATATATATTTATATATATATATATATATATATATATATATATATATATATATATATATATATATATATATATATATATATATATATATATATATATATATATATATAAATTTCCAGTTTAACTGCTGTACATAATAAGGGCTTTTTTATACAATAAACTATATTATATGTATAATATATTCTATAGTTTAACTATCATAGATAGATAGATAGATAGATAGATAGATACATAGATAGATAGATACATAGATAGATAGATAGACAGACAAGCATAAGGCTGGTAAGCCTGCTTTGAACTGGATGTTTTTTTGCATTTAGTTCTTCCACTGACAGGGGGCGCTGTAGTTCCTCAATGTCTTTTAGCTAGTCGCCGAAGAAAACAGATGCCAAAAGGGTTACTTCCTGTGATACGCATGTACACAGGAGGGATTAAATTATGAAAACCTCGAAGAAAAAGGAATCAACCAGGCGACCTCAGGAAAATAATGCAGAGGGCAACAATGAAGAGGAAAGTGAACTGTGTCCTGGTTTCAAAGACGTAGACGCCTTCGTTAAAGTAAGTCTGAATCAGAGTCTTTAGTCCTGGGAGAGAAGGCAACGTGGAGGAGCCTGTTAGCTACGAGCTAGTCACACCATAAGAAAAGCTTTAAGATGACAAACAATAAAGCATATAATGTTACCTTAAAACAAAACGTCCCCTTGCTGTGCATAATCGAGTGTAGACTAGTTGCTAATTAGCTAATGGATGTAGCATTTCCTTACTGAAGACCTCAGCTGTGTAATGGGGGGGACTCTGTAGTTTTTAAACTAAAAACTGTCGAGTAATTGAGTAATTCGTGGAAAATAAAGCTTATAAAATATCACCCTAGGTTTATTGTCATGAAAAAAATGACCTTAAGTAAACTAAATAGTCTAAGTAGCTGTGTGAAAAAATTTTTATTAATAATACACCATGTCGACATTTTTTTTGCAACTGACAAATTCAAGTTAAAATTATTATCTTTATGAGTCGCCCCTCTGGATAGAACAACTTTATATGGAAAAAAAAACATTTTTTTAATTTCTCTTGAAATTAAAATGTTGGTATAAAGCACTTAAAAATGGTTGCATTGCCAGTAAACAGCTGTTCTGGACTCAAATACAGAAGGTTTTATTACTAACCTATCAACATTAGGACTGAAACAATTCATCTGTTTAATCGATTATTAAAATCAACTAATTTATTACTCGATTAATCCTTTAATGGGGTATAGAAACTTACATAGATCAGTAATTATACCAAGATTGTAAAGAAAAATATCTATATATATGTATTTAACAACAAGGTAAATTTTCGTTGGGGCTGCAATTAAAAATTAGTTTGTAAAGCTATTAATCTGTTAATTATTTTAAAGTCTTCTGTAAGAAATCTTTTGCTATCCGGTTATTAATTGAAAAAATAATTGACAGATTAATAGCTTTACAAACTAATTTTTAATTGCAGCCCTAACCAAAATTTACCTTGTTGTTAAAAAGTACATTTTCTTAACACCATGTTCCAGAAACTACAGTAAACAGTTTATTTATTTATTTTTCCCTGTTACATTTAGTTTCTGCTGGTTTCCAGTTTTGATTCTCTAATGTTCTCTCCTTCGTCTCCACAGTATGGTTTGGGGGCTGTGTTATCAGCCACTAAAGCCTCAGCTGGTTTACCTCAGGCTGGAGACGATTATGATTTCTATCGGAGCTTTCCTGGCTTCCAGGAGTTCTGTGAGAGTCAAGGAGATAAGCTTTTGCACTGGTGAGTGTTGCTTTTATTGGACTGTGTGATATATCAATTCCATTTTTTTTTATCTAGCATTAACAAAAAGCAGTTGTCAGATTATTATTTTTTGTTTGTTTTTTGTGTCTGTGTCAGCATGAGTCAGATAATGCAGCATCATGGCTGTAGATCTCACATAAGAGACCAGAACAAACTGACTGGAGTGGAGGAGAGGTTTGACTTGGTTGTAGACTCAAACGATGTTATTCTCGAAAGAGCGGTAAGACCTGAAACTTTGCCCGGGAAACCATTTTTAACATTTAAAACATTTTCCTCAAACCAACCAAGCTCTGGTGTCCTAACTGACAGGGTATCCTCCTTGATGAAGCTGATGGGGTGAACAGGAGCCAGAATCCTGTTATGCCTGCTGGGTTTCAGCCTCCCAAAATAGTTGTTTCCAGCTGGAATCGTAAGGTAAGATCATTTAAATAGCAGTCGTCTCGTCACAGTTTTTCTTTTCTTTTTTTCAATAAGGGTTTGACCCAAATTCAGCTGTGTTTAATGTGTGGCAATCCAAACCTCTGATCCAAGGATGTTTAATGTATTCCAGGTCCAGTAAACATGAATCAAATGGCTGATCTGCCTCTCTCTTGTGCATTAAAGTTCTACAAGTCCTGCTAAAAATCTCTCTAAAGAGAGATTGATCTAAAAGTTGCCAGACATCAGCCCACATGTCCTGGAGTTTGGCACAGCCAATTTGAACATTTAAAATACTTATTTTTTTGTGGAGCATCATGCATAGGAAAGGAGGGAGGGATTGACTCGTGATTCAACCTAAAGAGCTGAAATGTGTGGGAAGGTGGTAAAGTTTTTACAAGAGGAAATGTACTCAAAGTTTGCTGATTGCTTTTCAAAATCCATCTGGTTTCACTATAAATATGTAGCGACAGCTTGCTGCATGTTGTTTAATTAAAGTTAAGAGAAATTGTAATTGGTTTATCTCTGCTAATCCTTTAGGGTTCCAGCTCTCGATCAGAAACTTTCCGACTTCTTCATGCCAAGAACGTGGCGAGGCCCCAGCTGAAATTCAAGGAGAAAGTTGACAACAGCAATACGCCTTTTGTTCCCAAGATTTTCATCAAGCCGAATGCAGTGAAGCCACTTCCATCGTGTATGTCAAGCTCTTGATCCTCATGGTATCACATCTAATCCTCACTGGTTTACATCTTTTGTCAATCTGAATGCATTTATCCCTTAAACTGTAGATTTCTCAAACAAACAAATACGTAAAGAGAGGCCTGAAGACCTCGATGTCCCTGCTGCCCTGGCTGACTTTATCCACCAGCAGAGGACTCAGGAACATGTGGAAGACATGTAAGGATTGTGTTGTTGAGTTTTTAAAAAAAACATTTTTTTTCTCTTTTTTTTTTGATGATCTAATGACTGTTGTTTTGTGCAGGTTTGCACATCCATACCAATATGAGCTGGACCACCTAACTGTACCAGAAAGCTTACTGTCTAAACCAGAGCCTCAGGTAATACCGCCACATATACCAAACATATTTTATAGCCCTAGCCCAATCTAATCTTTGTCTACCATATTATTACCCATCTTTAAATTACTGCTACTGCATAGCTTTTGGTGATGATTGTGGCTGAGCAGCTATCTGCTGCTACAGCTAAATACATCATTCTTTTAAAAAGTTCAGTATATTTTCACAGGGCTAAAACAGTTTTTATTTTTCGATACTTGGATGACATTCGTTATGACATCCATATGCAAAGTGGAACATGGTGATTTATAGCTCTGATTATGCAGGAGCTGAGCCTTTGATGCAGCTGACCTTAAGACTTAATAGGTTTAGGTATTGGTTCAGCATTTCCAGATATCATTCTTAGTGGCTTTTAGTTGCATCAATCCTTTTCTATAGCTGCTTTAAATTACAGCTCTCCTGAAAACCCAATTCAATATGCTATGTGTTTTTTTGAATTTAATTTAATTGAGGAGCCTATTTCTAAATGGAATTGGAGCCGTAACTGATCATATATTTCTATAAGGCACGATCTGCAAAATGTTGCCTTTCCTTTTATAAATTAAAACCATTTTCATCACGAAGCAGTGCCTGTATTTATGATGTACAGAGGTCTCTCATGTCTGAAGTGGCACGTTGGTCGGCTTAACTCAGAATTACTTTATAGATACTTTAATGTTATAAACTATCCTGAAAAGTAGCTGTATTAGGAAGAGAATTCCAGTAGGCACTGTGCATGACGCCCAACATTTGTTAATATTGGCAAAGTCCTAAACGGTTTCAAACAAAGTGTACTTCACTTGCTTGTATTGTGATGCCGCTCCTAATGGAAATGTGAGTAATAGGGCGTGCAGGTGGAGCATTGGTTAAGGCGTTCGACTCATGTACGGAGGCCTTACTCCTCGACACGGCCGACCCGGGTTTGAATCTGACCTGTGGTCCTTTCTCACATGTCTCTTCTCTCATACCCCCTTTCCTGACAGCCTACTGTTCAAAAAATTGGCCACCCGTGAGTAAAAACTCAAAAAAAAAAATGTTCATTTTAAAATATTAACAATTATAAGCATTAAGCAATAATTAGGCTCAGTGCAGGAGCCAGGCAGCGTCTTTGGGACTTCATCCAGACATTGTAGGACCGGCTGGTAGACTTTTTTATGTGAATCACTAATGTCATTCAAGATATTTTTCGGCTCTAACAAACATCCCGGAAGTGTGTTTTACAAACTTTCTTATGACATCTCGTTGCTATGGTTATTTTGACATGTGCTGGTGACCTCTAATACAGGTGAGAAAATACACGCGAGTCTAGGATCAATTCCAGGAAAATAAAGTTATAAAAGTTTGCAGTGAGACGTTCACGTTTTTATACATCTTACTTTTTCTGTGAGTCTAAAATTTCTGAATCTCATGTTACCATTAACTTTTAGAGTGAAGCTGCGCTCCCTTTAATGCATGAGTTCTCACAACTGGATGTTTTTGTCAATTTGCCTTACTTTGATTTTCTTTAGGTTGTTAAAAGCGTCCAGGCTAGATTTTTTCTTTAGTCTTGAGTTTTTCCACATCCCACAGGTTCTCCATCCATTTTAAATTGCTTTATGATATGCAGGATCTGATTGATCAGACCAAACTTTCATAAGGATCTCCAAGACTCTGGACCGTCTCCTACAAAGTTGAGATTTGAGGATATTAAGCTTTGTAAAAGCAATGATAATTGGTTAATTTAAGGAATTTTAATCCTCTTTTCCTGAAACGGCCCTATGAACGGATGACTTTAAAGGTAAAATGTATTTTTGTTTCCCAGATGTACAAACCCATGGCTGAGACCAAGCTATCATTTATTGACTCACTGGACGACCTGGTCACTCTTAACGAGAAGCTGTGCAGATTATCTGAATTTGCAGTGGATCTTGAGGTATGGAGATAATATTTTATCCAAATCAAAGTAAAAGAATCATAACTAAGGGCCCTGTCACACCTTGCTGCTTTAGCCAGCGTCTGCCTGACGTCCCAGAATACGCATACGCTGAACTTCCTATGTATTTTTTTGTTTTATGTTGGGCGTATACATAGCGTATTCATGAGTCCAGAACTTATGTCTAACGACAGCCTAATTTATGTATAGCGCATCGCAGCATGATGTCCATGAAGTGTCCTGAGGGAGGCAGCAATGCGCCCTGAGGCGCCCACCCAAAAAGAAAAAAGAAAGAAAGAAGGTTTGCAATTGCTGCAGATTATGTGTCATGTCTGCTAGGAAGTTTGTTGGCCGTGGGTGTGAACACAGGGAGGATGCATCCAACAACACACCTTCATGCTCACCCTATGATGGAGATAAAGTCTGAAGGAGTACAGATGTTTTCCTCCTGTGAACCCTATTTTATACCAAAACGCTGCCAATACGCCATTAAGCAGTAGCTTTAAGTCGTCAAATATATTTATATAAGTTGGGGATAAGTTCTGATAAGTTACGCATAAGTTATGCACAAGTTACTCATATGTTTTGGATAACCTAGACGCCACGCCTAATGAGTAACATACACTTAATGTATGTCAACGATCAAATAACTTAATTGTAACTTATGCCCCACGTATGGCAAACAGTGGCATACTTGGCGTGTGTCGATGTGTGCCAGCGTACTTCAGCGTGATCATAACTTACACATAACGTACCCATAACTTATCCAACGTATGCAACATTTTGCAACATTTTCCGTACGTCAGGCATACGCTGGTCTAAATCTTCAAGGTGTGACAGGGGCATAAAGATCTAGAGCATTTTTTTAAACATGCAGTTGTGCTAAAATGTATTGTTGCTTTTTTAAAGTTTTAACTCTTTCTTCTTTTTTTTTTATGACAGCACCATTCCTACAGGAGTTTTCTCGGTCTCACCTGCCTGATGCAGATCTCCACCAGAGAGGAAGACTTCATCATCGACACTCTGGAGCTCCGCAGTGAAATGTACATCCTCAACGAGGCCTTCACTGACCCCAGTATAGTAAAAGTAAAGACATAGTTCTATCAATAAATTCTTTCTTATATCCTCTTACAGTAGAAATGAATTATTGGGGGGAATAATATGTCACCTGCTTATTCTTTAAAAACTTGTCTTTTGTATAACCTAAGGAGATTTTACCATAAATGTTAAAATGCAAAAAGGGATATCAGCATTTAGTTGACTAGATACTGTTCAACCACCTGCTGGTCTGCCTGTTTGGACCAATGGGATTCAATATTATTTAGTTGACAGAAGGACAGATTAATCCATTAAGTTCTGAAACTATTAATTAAGCTTTAGCATGTTTTTTCTGTTTGCTTTTACCACTAATGTCAGGGTATTAGAGTTTTCTGCAGATACTACCTGGTGTTTGTCTTCTGGCGTGTGGACTCTTGTGCTCCTGATTCTCACCTGTGTTGTTTTAGTAGAAACTGACAGGTCTCTTGGAGGAAAACTGCATAACAATAATTAGAGCAGATTGGCCATTTATTGCATTGGTAATGGATTTTACAAATAACATTTCAAGTATTAAACCTCAGTGTTAGGAATGATCTTTCTGTTCTCTTACAACCCAGTCTCATGGGAAAATGTACCCCCACTACGTTGGTCCACACTGCAAAACGTAGTGGAGGTACATTAAAGGCCATTTTTTTGTGGTACTGTTACGTTTCTTCTACCTATACGCTTTCTATTGTTTTACGTCCTAGTCACGTGACTTTCAAGATTCCAGCTGGGAGAAGAAAAAAAATAAATATATGGCCGACATTCGCTCATTTTTTTTGTGGAAAGATTAATGACTTGAGTTTGTTTTTGCATAAAAATGAGTTTTGATTACATTTCTAGTGAGAAATGTATAGTTTGTTGCCAGAATATTTACTCAGGGAATGTACATATTCACTTGCTTGTTCGTTTCTTGCAAAGATTTTTCAAGATAATGTGAAACTAACATTGTGGTATAAACATGGCTGAGATTTCTCTAACTTTTAGTGGGAAAATCAATAATTTTAATCAGTTTCTGCATTTAAATGGGTTTTGATTACATTTATAGCGAGAAGTGTAGGGTTTATTTACATAATATTTACTTAGTGAACATACATAATCACCCGCTTGCTAGTTTTTGCTACGTTTTTCGGATCTCGTCAGGATTATGTGAAATTGCAACGTTTTGGCTGCTACCCATCGCCTAGCATTTAGCTGCCGCCCCGATTCAACATTGAATTCTTTGTGATTTAACTCCATCTGACGGATCAAACCCTCGCCACTGCGTGCGTTGCGTCTCAGGTTGATTTTCAGATCAATGCATTACGTCGTGGCACACGGGAGAAACTAATTAAACTAGTTTTAAAAAAGGATCATGGGTTAAGATCGGATGTGTTTTATTTGGAAATCTACCGAATCCTTTGTGCAATTAACTTCCTGTTTGGTGCGATCTCATTGATGGGTTTTGACCAGATTTTGACCAAAGAGGAACTAAAAAAAAACAAAAAACAATTTGAATACACAACCAGCATATCAGGAATCAGTGACAGAGAGCGACTGGGACCAGAAGTTTATTAATTTCTCCCCACTGATTTCCATTCAAAATGTTTTCGATCCCACCGGGCTCTAGGGAAGGGGCGGGCATACCGCCACCTACTGTTCATGAGTGTGTAGCAACATTGTTTTACATCTATTAAATTCTATTTTTAAATTTTGTATTCTGAAGATAAATAAATAATGCTTTCCTTAATCTATAAATATCTTTTATATTATTATATTTCCTTTTATGATCCTTTTTTTAACTAGTTTAATTAGTTTCTCCCGTATGCCACGACGTAATGCATTGATCTGAAAATCAACCTGAGACGCAACGCACGCAGTGGCGAGGGTTTGATCCGTCAGATGGAGTTAAATCACAAAGAATTCAATGTTGAATCGGGGCGGCAGCTAAATGCTAGGCGATGGGTAGCAGCCAAAACGTTGCAATTTCACATAATCCTGACGAGATCCGAAAAACCGTAGCAAAAACTAGCAAGCGGGTGATTATGTATGCTCTCTGTTATTGATTCCAGATATGCTGGTTGTGTATTTAAATTGTTTTTTATTTTTGTTTTTGTTCCTCTTTGGTCAAAATCGGGTCAAAACCCAAATGAGATCGCACCAAACAGGAAGTGAAATGCACAAAGGATCCGGTAGATTTCCAAATAAAACACATCCGATCTTAACCCATGATCCTTTTTTTAACTAATTTAATTAGTTTCTCCCGTATGCCACGACGTAATGCATTGATCTGAAAATCAACCTCAGACGCAACGCCGCAGTGGCGAGGGTTTGATCCGTCAGATGGAGTTAAATCACAAAGAATTCAATGTTGAATCGGGGCGGCAGCTAAATGCTAGGCGATGGGTAGCAGCCAAAACGTTGCAATTTCACATAATCCTGACGAGATCCGAAAAACCGTAGCAAAAACTAGCAAGCGGGTGATTATGTATGTTCACTAAGTAAATATTATGTAAATAAACCCAACACTTCTCGCTATAAATGTAATCAAAACCCATTTAAATGCAGAAACTGATTGAAATTATTGATTTTCCCACTAAAAGTTAGAGAAATATCAGCCATGTTTATACCAAAATGTTACAGTTTCACATTATCTTGAAAAATCTTTGCAAGAAACGAACAAGCAAGTGAATATGTACATTCCCTGAGTAAATATTCAACAAACTATACATTTCTCACTAGAAATGTAATCAAAACTCATTTTAATGCAAAAACAAACTCAAGTTATTAATCTTTCCACAAAAAATGAGCGAATGTCGGCCATCTATATATATTTTTTTCTTCTCCCAGCTGGAATCTTGAAAGTCACGTGACTAGGATGTAAAACAATAGAAAGCGTATAGGCAGAAGAAACGTAACAGTACCACAAAAAAATGGCCATTAATGTACCTCCACTACGTTTTGCAGTGTGGACCAATGTAGTGGGGGTACATTTTCCCATGAGACTGGGTTGTCTCTTATTTAAAGAGTAGTCAGAAGTTGTAATGGATATTTCATTAAAGATAGAGCTCTTACATTGTGTGATGTCTCTGAAAGACCAATCGTACTAAGAAGTTGGATGAAGTTGGCAGGAATTCGTTTGAAGTGTGGGAGCCAACATGACTCACACTCAGCAGGGACACCTTTGGAAGAAGTGTGCTGTGCTGCGTGGGCTCCATCTGCCAACTGAATAGCAAAAATCACCTAAATGAGAAATCATCATGTTTTGGTTTTTTCATTCCCAGGTTTTCCACGGTGCTGACTCTGACATCGAGTGGCTCCAGAGGGACTTTGGCTTGTATGTTGTCAACCTTTTCGACACCCATCAGGCAAGCCGAGCCTTGAACCTGGCCAGACATTCCCTCGACCATTTACTCAAACAGTTCTGCAACGTGAACTCCGACAAACGCTACCAGCTGGCTGACTGGAGGATTCGGTATGTTGACAAATGGGCCCATTCATTAATTTAAAGTTGTTGTTTTTTTCAGTATTATTAAGTGGCACTTTTTGCAATATTTAGCTTTGTCAAGAGGCTATCCACACCCCAGATTTGTACACATAACATGCGTGTGATTTATTGGGCTGTTATCTGAGAGTTCAGCAGAAAGTGAAGTTAAAGAAAGTATAGCCAGGCTTTTGGATTTACAATGCCTCTGGAGGAGCTGCAGAGATCCAAAGCTCAGGTTGAAAACTGTCTAGCAATTTCGTCTTTATTTAAGGAATGGCAAAAAGATGTTCAGCTTAAATCTATGGAAATAAGACAGAAAAACAAACTGTGTGCATAAGATTCAAATTTTTGCCTCAAGTAAAACACTGAAACAAGGAAAACATTTAATTTTTGGTTTGTTTCTATCAAAAGAAAATGTGAATCCTCTAGAAGCACCGTATGTTGGTGGGATTTAACATATGTAGAAAATAATGCTAAATTACAGCCTTATGTCGTCGTAGCCCCTTGCCAGAAGAGATGATCGAGTATGCTCGCGCAGACACCCACTATCTCCTTTACATCTACGACTGCATGAGGGCACAGCTGCTGGAGTCGAACCACGGGCAGCCGGGCCTGTTGCAGAGTGTCTGGAACAAAAGCAAAGACGTTTCATTGAAGGTTAGCCCACATCACACTACACTGATGCATGCATGAAAGCTTCCTCCACTTGGGATGTGAAGCAAGTAGCCAATAGGTTGTTAGATAACCGCAGGCATCGAGGGAAACATTGCAGAAGGGAGACTGTCATCATCCTTAGCTTTTTATTTTTATATATTGATTTAAGAAAATACTGAAGTGATGTAATTTGATATTCTAACTGGGAATTTGTTCTTTTATCTTTTGTCACATCTTACAATGTTCCGCCCTTTTTCCCTCTTCCAACAGAAATACATGAAGCCAATCTACACAGAGGAGTCGTATTTGGAGCTCCAGAGGAAGCAGAAAAGGTCCTTTAACACCCAGCAGCTCACCACGTTCAGGCTGCTATACGCCTGGAGGGACAAGCTGGCCAGGCAGGAAGATGAAAGCACCGGGTAGGCTGTGTGAACTCAGTGGACCTGCTGTTCTTCAAATGTCCTGCATCCTTTTTTTTAGAGCTCATGGGAATCAACTCATCTTCGCCCACTTGACTGGATTTTTTTCTCTTTTTTTTTTTTTTTCTAATCATGTTTTATGTGTTTTTTCTCCCCCAGATATGTCCTGCCCACTCATATGATGATCAAAATATCAGAAGAGCTGCCTAAGTAAGAACATCATATGTATCATTCTTAAGTATCTGTATTTATCTTTTGCTTTCCCCCCTTTTTATTTTGATGAGGTTTTTTTTAAATCTTTTGTTTTCACACCTCAGAGAGCCTCAGGGTATCATTGCTTGTTGTAACCCCGTCCCACCGCTGGTGAGGCAGCAGGTCAATGAGCTTCATTTGTTAGTGCAGCAAGGCAGGGAGATGCCACTCCTGAAGGTGAGAAATTGATGGAAGTAGTTGGAGATGTGATACTTCCATGGTGAAACTTGGATTTATTTCATTTTATTCACGCAGGCTGAGATTGCAGCTCAGAAGAAGAAAGGACTTACACCTATTAAAAAGGTCAGCTGAAGACGACTTCTACCTCGATATTTGATAACCAATATTTAGACTCATATGAATAAATGATTATCTGTATCCAGGCTGAAGTGACGTTGTTTGGTCCACATGATACGTCCAGGGGGTCCGAGATCGACCGTCCTCAGGATACAGCTGATGGTAAACCTGGCTTGAAACCTGAGAAGAAAAATTATGGGATTCAATTTTTTTTATCTATTATTTCACTTTTTTAGAAGTCCCAGTTAAAGAAGGAATCCTTTTCTCAGAGGAGGATCATAAAATGGACGTTGATGAGCAAAAAATAAGCAGCCTTTTGGCTCCAGCAAAAATTACCCTTTTCCAGGTAAATACTTGTCTTGCAAAAGTTTTCATTAACCTAAAGCTTCCGTGTTTAGTCAATGCACACATAAGATCAGTTTACTGGTACATGCTGGGCAATACTGTATTATATGATTTGAAATCGATGGAAAATCTTTGATTAAAATTCTGAAAAGTGTGGCATACATTTTTATTCAGTTCCCCTGTATCTGGATGTTGTAGAACCACCTGTAGTTGTGATTACAGCTGCAAGTTTTTTGGGTTTGTTTCTCTAAAATAAGGTTTAGGTTATAAGCCATGAGGATCGAGGTAATAATGGCTTAAATAATACATTTGAAAATACTGAATATTATTTATAGTGCATAAAAGGATTTGAGTTTCATGTTAGGAAAATGGTTTTGCATCTGGTAAATGTTTATATTTGCATATCCTCAAGCTATGAATATGTGTAGTTTGGTCATTAGAATACAATCTGCTAAATGATGGTTTGCACACAGATGAAGATCTGCTCTGCATGAACAACCAAGTTTTAAGATGATCAAACCCTCCGAAAATCAGACCCTAAGAGTAGATTTTTACCAATATTTTTTTTTTCAAATGGCTCCAGGTGTAATACGGTAGTTTAAGTCTGGTTGTCATTCATACTTCAAAAAAGTGTAATATATTTGATGGTTATATAATGATAAAATGGGAAAGATCCAAATAGAAATAGTTTGGAAGAGCTTTAAAAAAATGTTGTTTGTAAAGTTTTTTTTTCTGTTGTCTGTGTCTTTTTATGATGATTTATTTACTGAGGCTGACTTTTCTCTCTAAGGAAATGGAAACTCCGGCTGACCAAGAGTCCCTCTCCGTAGCCCAGACCAAAGCCAGGCGCATTATTGAATCTTTTGAAAATCCTTTCAGAATGGTAAAATATAAGAAAACATCAACCCACTAATTATCTGTGATTTCCATCACAGTTTATTCCTATCTTCTTTTTGAATCCTCAGTATTTACCCTCCACTGGTGTGCATGTGAACAAAAACGCTAAGTTTGACCCGTCTTCAAAAATATTTGAGGTGAGCCCTCTTTGTTTCTTTTTTTTTTTTTCTTTATTGAGTTTTCATAGCCTTACTTTCTTAACTGAACAGATCAGCAAGAGATGGAAACTGCAGAGTATCGAACAGCAGCAGAAAGAGATGGAGGTCAAGAAGAAATCAACTGAAGAAGCAAAACAACAAGCAAAGAAACTGTCAGGTAAAAATGATTGAGTTATCTATGAGGCAACCATTTTTGACAGTTCTTAAGAATTACATTTTTTTTTTCTACAGAGGAAAGAACCAAGGCTAAACAGAGCTACCAGGAGTCCCTGCGTAATATCACCACCGTACGCCAGCAAGCAGCAGTAAGCCATCCATTCTCCTGTGTTTTCCACTTTCTCTTTTCCACTCGCAGTGGTACAAGCTTGATGCAAAAGTTGAGCTGTGTTGAGCCTGGAGGAAGCACTTAAACAGTCAGCTTAACCCTCTGCTGTAGCCTCGGATTTTCTGCAGGTTTAGCCAACTTTCCAACATGGCAATACTACGACAGATAAACTATATCTGCCAGTCTGCAGCGCCCTCACAGTTGTTACTTTTTTAAATGTATCTTTCACATAAGGTGCTTTGGGAAGAGTTAAGAGCACAGCATGGGACTGGAGAGCTGAAGACTTTGTCATTGCACATTTCTTCCCCACTGTAATGAAACTGGAGCTTCTTTGCCCTCTAAAGCCACCCTGCTGTTAGATCTCTTTCTCTGGCTGTATTACATGATACCTGCTGAGTTACTCATATACATGCTTTCCTTCATGTTCTTTATTACAAATTCCGGGTAAGCTTGAATTAAAGGAGGACATGTCCTTTGACTCTTGCATGTGTTCCTCCAGGCTTTACTATTTCAGTCCTGCAGGAGTAGAAGCATGCATGAGTGTGGAATGCCAAAGTAATTGGCTCTGTGACCAATGCTGCAAAGAATCACTGCAAGTTGGCTTGTTAGTGCTCTCTAGTAGCATGGATTGTAGTCAGAAATATTGGCAGAAGCCCTGCAAAACGTAAAAGTCACCCACATGACAACTGCAGAGAAAAATTGGCTGAGATATCAGGAAATTGGCACTTTCAGATGGCTCTTTTTCAACGTGTTTTTTCTAATTAGGATTTTATATAAGGAGCTAGTTTTTTTTTTTCTTGTTTTTTTCTTCACTAGCGTTGTGTTAATGTTATGAAAGGCAGTAAACAGGCTCCAGCATCACTAATTATTCTGGTCTCCATAAAATGCTTTGCATGATCACATGAATAGAATAAGCATAAAGCTGCCACCCATATAAATACCTATTTAGCTGTGAACTTCAGAAACCAAATTTTAGAAGAAGAAAAAAAGATTTTCAAATATGAAAAGTAATTATTTTTATGGGAAAAAGCAATCTATACGAGTTGATGAATAACATAAAGACTTTTCTAAAGAAAGTGGCTTAATAGAGCCACGTAGATAAACGGGTAATACGGTTAGCCTTTGTGTTTCCCGACATCCTTTTCAAATTTCTTTTCTTCTTTTTTTTTATAGCTATCCATTGCATTCAATCAATTGATCACTTCCTTAAAATCCAAACAACTAAAAGCAGCCAAACATGACCTGAATTAATTTTATACTGATTAAGCAAACTTGAGCTCATGCTCCTCCAACTCAGTCACAAATCTAACACCCACCCCTCCTGGTTTGTAAATAACAAATCACCAGAACGATGGTTTGCTGTCTACAAGAACTCATCAGCACTCCAACCACAGATCGCTGTAGCATTAGCCGACAGAATAAACTAAGAGCCCTGAATAGGTGTAGAAACATCATCAGAAAAACTGAGCAAAAGTCTGCATGCCTCCGATTAAAATATGTTGTGTGGTTCCTATGACCCAGATAACTGTGCATTTATACATTTATATTGACCACAAATTATGAAAATGTTTATTCTGATTGTTAACATGTAAATATAGTGACTTAAGGCATAGAAATACAAAAAAACTATTGTCTGTAATACAAGATCTTAGGTCATGCTTGGTCTGCATTGGGACACTTCTAGTTGCACCACATAAATGTTTGTAAAGATATTTTCAAAACAAATGTTCTTTGTTTTTTGGGGTCATTTTTATTCATTTTTACAGAGGTATTTCTGCTTTTTTGCCTTAAAAACGTATTAAACATTCCTCATGAGGATTAATTTAGCAATAGATCTGATTTTGATACAATTGAAGACTATAAACGTGAGGACTCTAGTTATTATAACTCTAATCTTGCTGCTTCATTGGTAAATTATTCATCCTCTGTCTTTGGAAATCTTTAACTTTTTAAACAATCATTTGGTTATTGTGTTTTCCATTAACTTGACAAATGTAACAAAAATATTGGATATCAGAGCATCTGCTCATATGCAGTGAAGGTGCACACTAGTGACACCATTTAACCTAAATGATTGCTAAGGTAGACAATGCTAATGTTTTTGAGCTTTTTGCTTCTGTCAATCTAATTTCAGCAGTCAAAGGATGGTGCAAAGAAGAGGGCAAGGGAGGGCAGTGAGGTTGGAGAGGTGACTAAACAAAGTAAAAAGCTAATGAAATCAACAGAGAAAGCACAGAAGACTGAACCTCCTGCTAAAGAAAGCTTCACACCCTTTGACTATGCTCAGTCAGATCTGAAAGTTTTTGATGGTAGGCTTAACGGGTTCATCTTTGTGTTCTGTTGCAATATCCACCTCCTAATCTTTGCATCTGCTAACGCTTTACAGGCTCCAAAGCGAAGGACGACACACAGTTTGATCCAAATCGGCAAGCACAGGGCTTTAGGAAAAAGGTGAAGCTCTAGTTTTCTTAGATTTGCTAAATATATTTTCAAAAATAGATATGTTCTCCATATCTTTCATTCTTTTGTCCACAGAGGTTTCCTCAAGGTCCAAAAAACAACAGTTCTGCAGGAAACAGAAGTATGTCATACCTCAGTGGCAAATCAAACAGGTAAACATTTAGAATAGTCAAGTTTGTCCAATTCTGCACATTCAGACATCTAATGATAAATATTTTCTGTTTTATACCTACAGAGGATTCCGACATAACTGGCCCAAGAGATAAACTCTTAATTGTTCTTCTTCCTTTTAACTCATCTGGAATACATTTATTTTTCTTTTATTTTGTCCTTTATTGCAAGGGAAAATCTGTATTTCAGAATTAATAGATTTTGAAAGTTTTTCCTCCACCTGTGATGCAGCCCTGTAAATATGTGGAAGCATACAACTCTTTATTAAAGATGACTTTTAAAAGAAAAACAGTCTGTCATTTTTTGGATGTGTGTGAAGCTTAACGTGTTAATCCAAGTTAAATATTGATTATTCAATCCTTTGTTAGTAGGGTGAATGTTAATCATGTCATATTTTCTTGGGAAGATTTAATATTTTTAGGATTAAGTTGAGTTTGTTAAAAGCATTTTATAAATAAATTTTACTCACTAAAAAAGAACTAACTTCAATCTCCTTAAAATGTTTTATGCACAATGTTTAGGCAAATGACTTTGCTGATATGAACAATATAAATTGATAAATAAATCTTTCCAGATTGGAAAACCTTCCCTGTTCATTTTATTTTTACCTAATGCTTTGCTTCTTCCAGAGGAAAGATCATTTGTTTTGGTTTGGATGAACAGAGACTGCAGCTTTGAAAAAATAATTAGAGCCTAAATATGTTGCATGATTTGAAGTATAACATGTCTTATTGAACATAGCCATATATGGAACATTGGGGGAAATAGTTTTGTTTTATAGCCATTCATTGTTTTTCATTATTTACAAATCAGGCACTATTGTTAAGATTTTCGTCTATTGGTTCATATCGCAATTATTTACTTTTATTATGGCTGCCCCTTTAGTCTATAGATTTAATTGTACCCTGCAGAGATACAATACACCCTGTGCCAGATGAAGCAAAGCATCACCATATCATAACAGAGCCTCCTCCATGTTTCACAGTGAGGACTGTTCTTTTCTTGATGTGCTTCATTTTTTCCGTCTGAAAACAGATCTGATGTACCTTGGCAAAGTGTAAAATTTTTGTCTCAACTGTCTTTCAGCCTTTATCTTAAACATGTCTATAATTTTCTTTCTGATCTCCTGAGACCTAGTTCCTTTGCTTCCTCTGGTCAATGTTGAGCATGGTACACACACACACACACAGTGACTACCTATATTAAAAAAAATATCTCCCTTTCTTTCTCCAAGCTCAGGTCTTCTACCAGAGGCCTGGGAGCTTGAGGGTTTTGCGCTGTATCTTTGCTGTTTCTAGAACTACACTTTTCTGGACAGAGATGTCTGATGTATTTCCAGGGATCTGCTGTCACCACTCCTCCGGTTTGGGGTCACTGCATTGAGTGCCCCATTGACCACTGATGCCTTTATCTTCCAGGTTTTCTCCAGTTCTTCTCTGAGCCCCTGATATTTCTCTAGTTTTCCGTGTTCCTTTTCCTGATATTGCAGTCACTTGGTATTGCTATGTCAACCACAACAGCTTTTCTCTGTTTTTTGTCCACCACCACAATGTCTGGTTGGTTTGCAGAGATGGCAAAAGTACTCACTTTCCGTACTTGAGTAAAAGTACAGATACTTGTGTTAAAAAATACTCTGGTAAAAGTGGAAGTACTGATTAAACTTCTTTACTCAAGTAAAAGTAACAAAGTACAGGCTTGTAAATTTACTTAAAGTATAAAAGTAAAAGTAGAAACCACTTTTTTCATGCCGTTGCCTACATTTTAAATGGATGTCTGCCAATAGGACTAGATCTCCCTTGTGTTCATTTTCGATCATCTCGTCATCCATGCTACTATGCTAACGCCACCGCCACCAAGCTGCAATGATTTGCCGCGAATGAATACCGCCGAATCTGTCGATTTATATATATATATATATATATATATATATATATATATATATATATATATATATATATATTAGTGTGTGTATATATATATATATATATTAGTGTGTGTATATATATATATATATATTAGTGTGTGTATATATTAGTATATGACCACTGACTGATTACAAGTCAAGCGTAATTAACTTTTTACGTTTGTTACATGGAAGTTATCTCTGTGACCATTGTGTGCTTTTTCTTTCATAAAACAAGGGGTACCAACTATTTGTTTTCTGTACTCTGATTTGTATTTGGATTTTGGATCTTGTCACATTGTTTCTTTGTGTAATCATATGCTTGCTAGAGACAGACATCGTGATTGGGTTATGAATGGTGAAGTATCCCTATGAGCATTGGAAGGAAATGCACTTTTCCTAAATTATAAAACAATACTTTAACACTGCTACAGCTGCAGTAAAAACGAAAAAGATCAAAAGAGAAAAGATAAAAATAGATTATAGAAACATCTTAGACTTAGACAAACTTTATCAGTCCTTCAGCTTTTATTTTTATATATATTTTTATATATATATATATATATATATATATATATATATATATATATATATATATATATATATAAATATAAATATATATAAATATAAATATAAATATAAATATAAATATAAATATATATATAAATATAAATATAAATATAAATATAAAAATAAATATAAATATAAATATAAATATAAATATAAATATAAATATAAATATAAATATAAATATATAAATATATATATATATATATATATATATATATATATATATATATATATATATAAATATAAATATATATATATATATATATATATATATATATAAATATAAATATATATATATAAATTAAATGGTGTTAAAAAAAAAAGTAAAGACTCGTTTGGAATCTAAGCCAGATGAATTGGCTCTCAGGATTTGTCGGAATTCCCATCCCTAACGTGGATATCAGGGCGGTGCCAAAGGTGCCACGTCAAGCAAACTACACGCTAGGCGGGGCATGCTGCCGTACTATTGGCCCCAACAGTTCAATTTGTTACGTCAGCCTCATCCTATTGGTCGCAAATTAAAGACAGCACGTTTGGATGTCGCTATGGGCTTTGTAGTCTCAAGTCGCTCACGTTGCTCCCCTTCTGGCGTTCCTACCTGTGGCTGTGTACAGCTGTCATGGACCACATTAAGGATGGCTGGTTTACGGAGTCCTGCGCTATGTGGCCGGGCCAGGCGATGAGCCTGCAGGTAGAGGAGGTTCTCTACCACAAGAAGTCCAAATTTCAAGATGTTATGGTTTTCAAGAGGTAAGTGTTTTAGCTTTGCATCTGTGGCTAATAGCTGTTAGCTCCAGTTAACAAGCAGTGATTGAGAAAATCATAGCTCGATCCATTTAGCCTCTATCAATCAATGAGTTTTCTTTCTCAAATGAATGAATATCGTTGATTATAAATTATGTCTTATCTTAAGCAGTTATATTTAAATCAATTCTTTAGAGAATTGCACATGAAGCCCTTCACTGTTTTTCTCTCGTATTTTCCAGTAAAACTTATGGAAACGTGTTGGTGCTGGATGGGGTAATACAGTGCACGGAGAGGGATGAGTTCGCCTATCAGGAAATGATAGCCAACCTTCCTCTATGCAGCCACCCGGGCCCCAAGAAGGTACCTCCTACTAGCAGTTGTGCAACTCAATGAATTGATATTTCACTCAGGATGATCCAGGTCTGCATGTCACGGCAGGAACCATCAACCACGAGCTCTCCTCTGTTTCTCCAGGTGCTGATCATCGGTGGGGGAGACGGGGGCGTGTTGAGGGAGGTGGTGAAGCATCCTCTGGTGGAGTCTGTGGTTCTCTGTGAGATAGATGAGGTGAGTCCAAGAGGATGGACATCTTTGACACTTTACAGTCCTGAGTTTCATACTGTAAAAGAGCTACTCTGTTTAAAATGTAAATCCCTTTATTGTCCCACAATGGGGAAATTAACTCTGCATTTAACCCATTGCCTTGGGGAGCAGTGGGCTGCCATTGTGTGGTGCCCAGGGAGCAGTGTGGGGTTAAGGGTCTTGCTCAGGGACCCAGAGTGCAGGCCGTGGGGATTAAACTGGGTACTTGCAACCTTCTCAGAGCACAAACACACTGCTATAACCCTCTAGGCCAGGGATCGGCAACCCAAACTGCTCAAAGAGCCGTATTGGACCAAAAAGAATAAAAAATCTTTCTGGAGCCGCAAAAATGTAAAAGTCTTATATAAGCCTCGTAAGGCAACACTGGCTCTAAAGCCTGTGGGCTTACCGTAAGCATTCATGATTAAATGTTGATCCTGCGGCAAATGTCACAGCATGAGGAGCAGTGAACACTCTCACAGTTTTGTTGCATTGATGAAATTATGGAAACACGATAAATGAATCCTTCTATGGTGGACGTGTTTCTGTTGGGAGGAGTTGATTGAGTCATTGGGAACCAAGCAGGAACTGACATCCATCAGAACATCCATCCCTGCATCAGAGCTCTACCTGTTTGATCTGTGGATGTTTTTCCATCCTTGCAACAAAACTATGTAGCATCAGTAGTGGAGTTTGGAGATGTAATCCACTTCTTAAATCTATCTTTGTGCTCCTCTAATTTACCCAGAAGTTCTGCATTCGCACTTTTTCTCTCACTCCCAGATTGATGGTTGGCTGGATATTTAGTCTTCTCTGGAAATGCCTTTCCAAATGTTTTTTGTTTTTTTTTGACAACCTCTCATTACAAAGCAAAAATGCAGGCAATCCTTCCACATTAATAATGAAAGCAAATGATTCGCTCTATTTTTTGAATCCTCTTTTCTCATCAGCTACCTTCCTTTTTTCCCTTCGGGATCCATGGTCCGAGACGCACCTGCAGCTTTGCTGGCCTGTCACCGCGCCGCACTGGTTGAAAGTTATGACCACTGATCTCCATGGCTATGACGCAAATTATTGTATAAATGTATTTATAATACAAATGTTTACAGCATTGGAAAACATAATTTTTCTTTGACCTCCTGCACACCATATTAAAACAAAAACAAAAAAATAGATTTTGATACATTTTTTTGAAAAAGCTCCAGGGAGCCGCAAGGGGGCGCTAAAGAGCCACGTGTTGCCGACCCCTGCACTAGATAAACACTCCTCTAAGAGGTTTGAACAGGAACTATTACTCTGCAGGTAAGGCCTATAATAACTTGAGAAACTGGGAAGATCGACTCCTCAGGCCAAAAGCAAACAAAAAAATACAAAACAATTAGTCTAAGGGTAGAAAGAAGAAAGTTATCAGGAAATGTTTTAGCCTTTTTGTGAGTATCATCCACAACGAAACAATCTCTTAGAAATCTCATGGAAGCTGACCTTCTCTCCTGTGTAGGATGTCATCGAAGTATCAAAAAAGTACCTCCCAGGAATGGCCAAAGGATTTTTCAGTCCCAAGCTCACCCTCCACCTTGGCGATGGCTTTGAATTCATGAAGAAAAACCAGGATGCCTTTGACATCATTATAACCGACTCCTCAGATCCAGTCGGTGGGTGACAATTTTTCCACTTGTCTCTGTTTATGTTCCGCTTTGGCGACTATACCCTGATTTTGAGTTTGGTGCTCTTGTGTTACAGGACCTGCTGAGAGTCTGTTTAAGGAGTCGTACTATCAGCTTATGAAAGCAGCTTTGAGAAGCGGCGGCATCATTTGCTCCCAGGGTAGGTGTGTGTTTAGCCCAGCTTTTATTTAAAGTGATGACTAAAGAAAAGTTTTTCCCCATTAAGTTTTTCACGTTATCGATAATTCAAGCTATTTTAGTGAAATTAACTTCAAGATAAGCAAACATGTAAATGGGCAGTAGAAGATGTCAGTAACCATGGCATCTTTGTTTTTATGAATACAATTCTGAAGCAGTGGCATAGCTTCCCCTTTGCATCAATACCCTTTTAAACGCATCAAGTCACTTTTAAATGTCTTCTGATTAAGAGTTACTGTGCAGCTATGTGTAATTAAGTTTTAAAATAACTGTTGCTAAGACATCTTGGAATGTCTTGGGAGTTTTAAAGAAAAGCATTGCCCTTTATAGAAGAGGGGAAGGAGAAAACTGTAAGCAGTCATGTTTGCAATCTGCAGCTAATCTGGTAGATAACAGCTTTTTTTCCCGTCTACATGCAACATGCTCATGATACCATCAGGTAATATAAGACTTTCCACCCTGGACACATTGTCCCCTCACGAATACAGAGTGGAGGCAGCATGATGATGTGGAGATTGAGCTTCTTTGTAACATTCTGTTACATAATCTTAGAAAAGTACATTGGATTAGACTGAAGTTTGCGGAAATGATCGAACAAAATTAAAAAGCTTGAAATGGTTTAAGTTTTTATGCAGTCAGATTAATCTTTTATTATATCGCATTTTCCCTTTTCTGCCTTCTAATGTATTCTGACTACAGGACAGATACCATGATGTTAGCTTAGCTTTAGGCGGGGCACGCTGTCATTTCATTTCTCCTTTGTTTCATTCACCAGGAGAGTGTCAATGGCTCCATTTGGAACTGATAAAGGAGATGCAAACCTTCTGCAAGACACTTTTCCCTGTGGTGGACTATGCTTACAGCACCATCCCCACTTATCCCAGTGGCCAAATTGGATTTATGCTTTGCAGTAAAAATCCTGTAAGCATCACTCTCTGTTCCCGTTAGTCATTACTTCCTGAGTCTTTGCACAGGCTGACTTATTCTAAAATTGTTCCATAACTTATTGACTTTCAGGAAACCAACTTCAGGGAACCAGTGAAAGCCCTCACTAAAGAAGACATGGAAAGTCTGAACCTTAAGTATTACAACCCTGATATTCACAAAGCATCCTTCGTCCTCCCTGAGTTTGCCAGAAAGGTGAGTCTAAGATGGAAGTAAACAAGAAGAACAGTTGTTGACGGATTCATTTTCCTCAAATTATGCACATTTTGGGAATATTAGAAGCTTTTATGTTTTACTTGGATTTATGCAACAGATTGACTCAAACTGATGGATAATTCTAATAAAGGAAAATTATGCACGGTTTCTAAGAGATGGACTATAATCACAAACTTTCCAATCTTATTACAGATTTTCTGTTGGATTTAGAATTGGTCTTTGATTGGAGCATTCTTGCAGATAAGAACTGCAGCTCCAGTTCTGTGTTTAAACATCAAAGTTTAACCTCTGTCCCCATCTAAGGCCATGTCTCACTGCAGGGACTTGTGTGTGTTCGGGGTGATAAGCTTTACGTTTTGCCTCAGTGTTTTGCATTTTGGCCCAAAGGTTAAATATTGATCGCATCTGACCAGAGCACATTTCTCTATGTTTGCTGTGTCCTGCTTTGTGGGACGCTGCCGACTGGTCTCCTTATAGCTCCCTACAACAATTATTTTCTGCTCTTCTATAAAGAATCTAAGCAAAATTGTGAAGAGCAAGACTGATGGCTCTCTAGGCATCATATTTGTCCACCTAAGCTTTGATTCTCTGCAGCTCCTCCATAGTTACCGTGGGCCTCCAGGCTGTTTTAATGAATCCTCTCCTTGCCTGGTATCTCACTTTATATAGACGAGCATATATTGGTTTGCAAGACGTTGTCTCTATTTCATAGATTGAATGGCAATTTGTAAGATGTTAGATGTTACCTGAACCGGATTTAAACAACTTCATCTTTGACCTAAGATTGAATTACACATGACTGGGCTCCATTTAATAATTAGATAACATCTAAGAGCAATTTAGTCAAATTTACTTATAACAAGGTTTCCACAGGTCATTAAAAATCATTAAAAGTTATTAAATTATATATTTTTTTAAATTAAGGCCTTAATTTACATTGAAATTCATTAAATGGGATTATCATGGTATTTAAAATGCTTTATAAAAAAAAAAAAAAGTTTCTAAAAACTATTTAATCAGATATATTATATGGTGATATATTTGCGCGGAACTGCTTCCGGTTGATCGTGAATCCGTATGTTCGGTAAAGAAGCCTGAAGCGGAGAAAAGGCTAGAGAATGGAAAAATGCACATTTCAATAAATGTGGCTAGAAAGCGTGGAATTCATGACATATGTGTATGTATGTATGAGAGTCATGTTTACTTGTTGGTGGCATTAAAATAATTTCTAAGAGAATTAAAATAGCATTATATTAGTTACTTATTCCTGTATAAATATAATGGCATCTAACAATCAGTTTGATCTCAACATTAACAGTATTATATTTACACATTTGAAATTATATTCTATATGTGAAAAGATCTAGTATATAGATAATTTTACAAGTTGTATGTAATAAAATGCATTTCATGAATTTTATAGTTTTTTGCTACTTTTGACTGATTTAATCTTTTACAGGTACTCAGTGAAGCATGACCTGCAACGGCAGATGTACTCCTCACCTGCCTGGCCCTCAGAACACATAGAAAATAGAACAAAATTTCTATCATTGTTCCGTGATGTTTTTCAACTCCTCCACATAAGGTCAATGTCATTCAAGAGAAATCACCTGGTAGGAACCTGCTGGATCACTACCCTACCAGTGTTCCTCTCCTCCAGTCTTAAGAACTCTTTGTGTTTTTTCTTTTTCCTCTGGTTTATATCAAACTGTTTTTTTTTAAGAACCGTTTAATAGGATGAACTGACAGCTTTTATTGTGATAAAACCCTGACCTCATTCTCCAACAGTGTACTGTCTGACTCAGTATGTTACATACCCTGTTGATGTATTTTGTGTTTATTGGATTCATATCCATTTTTCTTTTGTGGAGGGGTCTGGTTTATGTTCATTGAAAAATATGCAGCATCCGTAAACTGAACTGGACATTCAGGTTGCCCATCATTCCGTAACAGAACAGACCTATAGTGCCTGATATTAGTGCTTTCATAAGGGGAAAAAATAACTATAGCATCCTACGCTGTAGCCGTAGGGCCAGTGTTTGGAAAATCTTAGAGAATTACCAGTTTGAGATAAATAGAAACTTGATGCATAGCTTTGATTGTCATAAACAAACCTTTTGATTGGGAGTTAGAATGCCACGGAAAGAAAGGTTTGTAATGAAGGTTCAGAATACAAGAAATTAAAATCTTTTAAGAATAAATTCATTATGTACTTAAATCTTGCAGAATGAGGTATTTAACCTTGATTGGATGGTTGGGTTTGTTGTAAACCAGTACTGCTATTCCACCATGCTGATGATCTCCCATGTGGAAATATTTACCTGTTGAGACGTGATCTTTGTTGAGCCAAGGAGTTGTATATGAATAATGAATTTGTTTTTATAAGATGTATGAACTGTAATAAATTAGTAACATAATCTTAACTTTGTAGTTTTTATTGTTTCCTATTGATTGATTAACTTTATTGATCTCACATTGGAGAAATTTACACAGTGGATCTGAAAGTTAAAAATTCATCTGTTGCACCATGGTGTTTTCTACATGCAGGCGGATCTAAAATAAGAATACCACGAAAAATTATTTTACTAATTCAGCTCAAAAAATTAAAAATTGTATCTATGACTCATGCTCTTTTAAAAGATATTAATGGCAAGTTGATTGGAAGAAAAAATTGTATGCTGCCTATTTACAGGCCATCTACTAATCAGAAAATATGTTACAAGCACTGTAGTTTAACAAGGGAGGAAAAGAAGACTTGAACAATAGTTAAAAGATATATATATTTTTTATAAAAGGAAACGTTTGCTGAAGGGCATTCGAAATAAAGGTCTAAGAGGTCCTATTTTTTGGTAAGAAAGCATTGGCACACTGCAGCAAACTCAGCTCAGTCTCATCTTAAGTAAACAAACAGTTGTGCTTCTGTTTGTTTACTTAAGAACACAACACTTTATGGCCTCTTTCTCTCTGAAATTAGCAGTTTAACGCAGGTTTTTCAAACACGGGTCAACCGTCTAACAATCTGCATTAGGCTCACTTCCCATTGTGGAAAAAAAAACGGCTAATGATGTCACCAGTGCGACAGACTTTAGGAAGGTAAACAATGGAGAGCAATATGTGAGGAAGCCAGGACGTAGTCGGTGTTGTTATTTTGCTCCTTTATCTGTCTGAATCCCTCTCACCAGTGCTGCACCATGTTTATCGAATGTAAACAGTTATTTTGGCTTGTTGGATCAGACATGATTGGCGCGGTGTGTTGATGTCTGTACGTTTCCGTCTATCGGATCACGTAAATTAGCTGTTCCCACTGCTTGCTGATTGAAGCTGTGCCATTTGAATGCGATTTTAACCCGGGTCGCTTGCCAAACGTATGACACTAGTCAGTAGGGCTGGGTAAAAAAAAAAAATCGATTTTGAATAGATTCCTTTACATTTTTGCAAAATCGATGTCTAGGGAATGAGATCGTTTAGTTTTATAGTGACGTGCGTGACGTTCACATTCAAATGAGCAGGAAAGATGCACTCAAGATGACTTCAAGCCAGATGTAGGTTGACTGAAGACATCAGCAAATGGGGGCTGACCAGCAAACACCCTGTAGTTGTTACAGTCAACGCTGCACATATGGTTTGTACAGTGGCGATAATGTAGCTCATGCATGTCTGCTGTGTCACGCCTGCTTGCTCAAGTGAGGCTTCACCTTTTCACTTTTCACAAACAAGTTTGATCTTTGAGACAGTTTTGTTCACATCTCAAATTTAAACTGCCCAAATTTGCACTTTGTGTTTAATATGATAGGAAATAAATCAAATACATGAGTATTTTGAAACACAGTTGAACCACTTTCATAATTGTAAAAACAGATCGAATCGATTTAGAACTGTATGAATCAAAATTGAATCGATTCAGGACTTTGGTGAAAATACCCAGCCCTACTGGTCAGTGAGCTCTTCCTACTGCCAATACAAACCGGTTATTTTCAGGTTTCAACAGGTTTTTTTTGCCAGTTAGAAACGGGGTATATATGAGAGGATGGGGAAGGGCTCCGTCAGGCACTTTCAATGCAACTTTCCTGTTGTTGAGTCTCTGGTTCAAAGTTGAGTCGATCCTCTCGGGGGGCCCCAGATTTTGCCTGCCCTGACTATTGGAACCGAGCTCCCCTGAAGGCCCCCAAGGGTGCTTAACGTCTTTTTAAGCTTCCACAGTAACTGGTGACCCTCTGTTCTGCTTACAAACTTTATAGAAATGCTCATTTAATTTTGGAGCAGAGCTTCAGACCTGCTCACACTGCCATAAATACCATTCTTTGATTTAATGACTATCATCTCACCTCTGCCTGATGCCACATTTATGTAATGCAAAACAAGCACTGAATGCCCATATCACATCTTTATTGTACTTTTAAATACTTTTTTTTGTTTTTAAGAAAATGTGAACAAATAGGCAGTACAAGAGCTGGTGAACCCCTTGTTGGGATGTAAACCCAATAAAGGGGCAGTTTTATGTGAAGTACAGGTGATGGAGTATTAATACCTCCGTGTTTACGGAGAAAACAAAAAAAACACAATAGTGAAGCTGCCAACAAGAAGAGAGCTTACTTCTGTGTTCATGGTCTTTCCAGAGGAAGCTTCAGTCCCCAAAGTATCTATAGCAAAATCCTACATACCTTTGATAATTTTATTCTATCTATTCTATTATCTATCTGTTGGTGTAGCAAAAAACAGGCATTCTCATGAGATGGTTTAAACCTAATCAAATGAATAAAATAAAAGACTACCCTGATCATTTTTTTTCTATTAACAAGAGGATCTGATCTGATTGTAATTCAACTCTCATCCATCACTATTTTAAAAGAACCCAAAAGTTGACCATATGCAAGTTTCCCTTTTAGAAATAAGTTATTCAAATTAACCTTTAATATAATATGTGATAAATGCAGCTGTATGTATCCTTAGATTGTGTTGCTATGGGTTATGTTGCAGTATCATCTAAATATGTGCTGGATATTAAGCAACCAGTAGATGGCGCCTTAGAATCTGCTGAAAATAAATCTGGTGCAGCTTCTGTGATGGTTAAAGAAATACAATAATGTAATAAAATCTACATTATAATAAGCTTCCTATCCTGACATGTTTTGACTCTCAGTGGTCCCTGGGCTACATTAAATCACTATTTCTTTGTTTTTGTGATGACAGGTGTCACTGTTACACAGTTGCTGCTCAGTTACATCAACTTCACTGACTTTGGTGGAAAATGTCAGCCTTCACTAGTTTTTCTATTAAAATGTGACCATGCTAAAAAAAAAAAATACATTAGTGTCGTGCTTTTTTTTTTTTTTTTTTTTTTTCCCATAAGCTGCTTCTATTGTTTCCTTCTCAGATAAACAATCACAGAAGCAGGTAGTTTTGTGCTGATTCTCCACACAGCTATCTCCAAATATGACTTTAGAATTAGTATTTTATTAGATGCTTTTATATAAAAGATGTTTACGGAAATGTAAGAGCGCTCCATTTGTTTTATATAACCCTTCCTAAAGAATCTACGTAGATGGACTTTTGTGGAATCCATCGGATAATAGAACAAAAGGAGAAACTTATTGCTCTGCAGCAATCCTCTACAGATTGTTGTTGAGTAGATAAGGCACACAAAGCTCATATTGCAAAAAATTGAGGCATCAATCCCATTAATGCTATCTGTGAGCACCTGTAGCCATCATCTTCCTGACGTCTTCTTACTGTTTGAAGTATTTTCCAAGCTAAACTGCAAATTTCCTAAAGGCAGAGAGTCTTTGTTGGTTCTTCGAACACAGTGAATTGTCAATACTGTAACCGTTTCAATATGTCAGGTAATCTTCGGACAGGGCTGCAGGGGGGGTTCAGATCAGAGGAAAATACAACCTAAAAACTGTTTGGAAAGCTTAACCAACCCTTCTGAATATTTCCAATAAGGTACTCCAGCAACTCCTGCAAAACAGTAGTCATTCTTTTTTTTCCCCCCTTTTTTTAAAAAGAAAGTTTCTGAGATAGATGCTTGTATTAAGGTAAGATATATCCTCAGATTATAACACAAAGGCTGTTTAATTAGTTTTACTATGCATGTCAAAATATGTCAAAAATAAATTTTAAAGTTACCAGTTAGCTTTCTCAACAAACATATGTCAAGAAAATGGGATTAATTGAAAGGACAAATATCATTCTCCTACAATAATATTTGTATTTTAAGACCATTTTGAGACCACTATTTTAGTTATGTTTACTGCATAAAAAAAGCCTTTTGTTGTTTCGGAGCCCTAGGAATAAAATGATTTATCAAAGCTTTAGATCAACCATCCATGTGTCCATCTTTAGCTTTAACCTTTAAATTATCATGTATTGTCTTGTCAAACCAAATAAAAATAACATTACAACACAGTCTAACTTTTGTCTGTCCATTATGTCTTGTAACATGAAAAAAAATCCAAAAAGGCATCTTCATTCACATTTGAGGTCAAATGTAAATATGTCCAAAAATGGTAAAGAAAAAACAAAAGTAGGGCTGCTCAGTGAAGCAGTGGGTAGCACTACTTCCTTGCAGCAAGAAGGTTCTGGGTTCAATTCCTGGCCCAGGGTCTTTCTGCATGGAGTTTGCATGTTCTCCCTGAGCATGCATGGATTCTCTCCAGGTACTCTGTCCACAGTCTCAAAACATGACTGTAGGTTAATTGGCTTCTCTAAAGTCCCCTTAGGTGTGAGTGTGTGCATGAATGGTTGTTGCCCTGCAATGGACTGGCGACCTGTCCTGGGTATACCCTGCCTCTTGCCCATTGACAGCTGGAAATAGACACCAGCACCCCACTTGGGATTAAGTGAGTTAGAAAATGGATGGATGGGAAAACAAAAGTAGCCATCCTGACTGGGTTCATGCTGTTTTTAGAGAAAAAGGCCAGTTGCATCCAAATAATTTTGAAATAAAAACCAGTTTGATCAGGCTTTATTTATTCAGGATTAACTGACAGAAGGATTAAAAAATATATGTATGTATTATTTATTTATTATAGAAATATAATTTCAAAATTGGTGGGCTTGGCTTATTATTTCAGCCCATGACATGGCATTTATTTGGTCCTTTCAGAAAAAATTGGCCTATTGCAAAATAGTTTGCAAAAACTTTTTCTATCTATGCTCAGCAATCAAACTTTGAACCAAAAGGGAGGTAATTAGGTCTATTTAAATACAAACAGTACTTGATATATAGGTATCTTAGAGGGGTTTTGGAAAAATCTAATTCTTCTTTGTAAATAACATATCCATCAGTCTACATAGTGATTTGTCTTTCAGCTTTTAAATTTCAGAATAAACCTGTAAAAGGGGCAAATCTAGAAAATGGTGGATCATTCACTTTTATCTGCATTTTCTCTAAAGTTGATAAAGTTACAGATTATTATTCTAA